AGTAACCCCCACGATCCTTCAAGTAAGCCTTCAGATCCCTACATTTCAGCATTTGCCTTCCAAGCCCTGGCTTCCTGGCCCAGGCGGGGGCGGCCTCTGGGCTGGCGGCAACTTCTTGCAAGAATCAGAAAGCGCGGTGGCCTTCGAGAACTGCACGGCCTTTAGAGCTTCGGTTGCATCCGGGAGCCCTTGGGGCGACGAAGGTGGCTCTTCGGGGCAGAGCTTCGAATTTGGGGGGATGTCAGGCAGGTGCGACCTAGTAAGACCATGCGCTGAAGGGTCTAGTCCGTGGTTTCAGGCGGTGGCCACAAAGTGTTTTGGGCCTTTTTCGCAGAGAGCCCGTGAACTCAAAGCCACAGGTCTGAGCCCGTGCTGTCTCCGAGGTGGTGTTGGCGGAGGTGCAAACGTTTGCGAAAACTTCGCGCAGGGAGCCAAGAGCTCCGCCATCTTCCGCAGCTGCAGTGCGAACTCTGGAGCCTGGGCAGCAGTGTTCTTGGGACTGTCGCCAGAGGGAGCATGCTGGGAGCCCCCCTTTGTACTTGGGCCATGCAAGCCCGACTTGCTCAGCGGGAGAGACCCTGCAATCAAACGCGTGTACCACAATTCAGGGTTTTGGGAATGAGGGTGCGGGGCTTGTGGGCTCCTCAGAGTTCAGATTTTCAAGGAGATTTTGGGATTGGGCTGCAGCCGTTGCGGGAACACGTTGGAGCTTCTCGGGTGCCCCCAAGGAGGCGGCCTCAGCACTTACGGTAGCTTCTCCCAAGAAGCGGAGAGCACGGTGACCTGCGAGAACTGCACTTCTGGAGCTTCGGTTGCATCTGGGAGTCCTTTAAGCAACGACGTGTGGGGGAGTTGAAGGCCTGGTTATTCCGCGCAGAGCTTCAAAGATGGGGGATGTCAGGCAGGCAAGACATAGTAAGACCCATGCACCCTCCGAGTTGAAGGGTCTGGTCCCGTGGCTTCAGAGGGTAGCTACAACGAGTTTTGGGCCTTTTTCGCAGAACGTGAACTCAACGCCACGGGTCTGAGCCCGTGCTGTCTCCCAGGTTCCGACGGCGGAGGTGCAATCGTGGGCAAAAACTTCACGCAGGGAGCCAAGAGCTCCGCCATCTTCCGCAGCTGCAGTGCGAACTATGGAGCCTGGGCAGCAGTGTTCTTGGGAGCCCCCTTCTGTACTTGGGCCATGCAAGCCCCACTTGCTCAGCGGGAGAGACCCTGCAATCAAACGCGTGTAACACAATTCAGGGTTTTGGGAATGAGGGTGCGGGGCTTGTAGGCTCCTCAGAGTTCAGATTTTTAAAGAGATTTTGGGATTGGGCTGCAGACGTTGCGGGAACACGTTGCTGCCTCTCACTGCATTTTTTGGAGTCTGCCGTGTGCCCCCAAGGAGGCGGCCTCAGCACTTACGGTAGCTTCCCCCAAGAAGCGGAGAGCACGGTGACCTTCGAGAACTGCACTTCTGGAGCTTCGGTTGCATCTGGGAGTCCTTTAAGCAACGACGTGTGGGGGAGTTGAAGGCCTCGTTATTCCGCGCAGAGCTTCGAAGATGGGGGATGTCGGCAGTGGGAGCGTGCTGGGAGTGCCACTCTGTACTTGGGCCATGCAAGCCCACTTGCTCTGCCTTAAGGAGGCGGCCTCAGCACTGGCGGCTTCTTGCAAGAAGCAGAAAGTGCGGTGACCTTCGTGAACTGCACATCTGGAGCTTCGGTTGCATCCGGGAGCCCGTTGGGCGACGAACGTGTGGGGGAGTTGAAGGCCTCGTTCCGTGCAGCGGTCACTTCCGGGCAGAGCTTCGAAGATGGGGCATGTCAGGCAGGTAAGACACAGTGAGACCATGCGCCCTCCGAGTTGAAGGGTCTATTCTGTGGCTTCAGGGGGTGGCCACAAAGGGTTTTGGGCCTTTCTCAAAGGAAGTGAACTCAACGCCACGGGTCTGAGCTGTCTCCCAGGTTCCGACGGCGGAGGTGCAGTCGTGAAGAAAAACTTCACGCAGGGAGCCAAGAGCTCCGCAGCGCGAACTCTGGAGCCTGGGCAGCAGGGTTCTCGTGACTGTCGCCAGTGGGAGCGTGCTGGGAACCTTCCCACGCCCACTCCCTTGGGCACGCAAGCACCGGGACAGTCCGTTCAAGCAAATGTGTAGAAAAAGCAGAGTCCAGCTCCTGGGGTTAATGGTTGCGGGTTTGTGGAGGGATTTTGGTGCTGGGGCGCGGTGGCATGCCACACAGATGCATCGCAGCCTCTGACTGCAGTTTCAGAGCATGCTGGCACCCTCAGGAGGCGGCATCCATGCCTCAGGCAGCTACGAACAGGAAACCGGCAGTTCAGTGCTCTTCGAGCACTGCTCGGCAGATCGCGCCTTGGCAGTCGAGGCTGTGTATCGTGAACAGATTCGGCTTTGTGTCACAAGCCTTGGTTGCATGGGGCACTGGAGGCAGTTGCTTAAGGTATGGTGTGAATGCACTCATTGAAGCTCCCCCCTGTAGCGACGTACCTCCCTCGCTGCTGAGGGGACGGAGGCGGTGTTGCAACCAAAGACCTCAACGGCAACGGTTCAATGCACTTCAAGGCATGCCGGGCACGTACAGGCCGGAAACTTTTTATCTCCCGGCCCTACCTGTCCTAGCCCCCGGTTGGAACTGCTTTGTGGTTGCGTGATTGCGTGATGGACCATACTGGCTGCTAGCTGGGGTGGACTTTGCATACCAGGCTTTACTCAATTCAGTTGTCCATCGCAGACAAGGGCCTTTGAGGGATCACCCCTAACCCTAAATCCTAAACCTCGGCAGGTTGATTCCGCAGACGGAATAAGGCCTAAAGCCACTGGAACAGTTTGGCGGTGGACACAGGTGGTGGCCTGAGCATCACCGGCGGCACAGCACGTCATGACGGTTCGCTCGCTTTCGAGGCCGGGTGGTTGAGAGTGCTCGGCACAGAAGAGGTTTAGGGCTGAGAGGTTTAGGGTTTAGGGTCAGGAGTTATAATATCCTTTTTTCATGCAGGCATAGGGTTCAGGATATGCGGGTTTCGGGGTTCAGGGTTTAGGGTTTAGGCCACTGCTTCGGATTTTCTGGCCGGGCCAGAAACAATAGAAGCAGCCTGCATGACCTTAGCTGGAACTTCTTCGAGTTCTTGGGGCCTGAGAGAAAACATGATAGGTGGCAGAAATTATTGGAGATTTTTTGGTAGTGGCAGAGAGAAGCGGAAACTGGAAGGAGTGCAATGCCAGCAGCATGGGCGGTGGGCTTCACATGGATGGCGGCAAAGGACGGCAGACTTGAAGCCCATGTTCGCTACCCTGTATTCGTTTCCTTTCCTTGGGGATTCGGGATCAACACACTCGTCGCGACCTCGTGAGCTTTGCATCGGTATTGTACGATCTGTCCAACGTGCTACTTTCTCTGAGTCCGTCTTTAAGGTTCAGCTTTTTTGCAAAGTTTAACCGGCTGTGACTCACGCGCTCGGAGCAGTTGGGCAGAAGCTGAGCCTGTGTTGCCACCACAGGCACTGACTTGAGACCAAAGCCAAAGCGAAGTGTTGAGTGCAAACCCCACGGGACAACCCCCAATTCAAGTGGCCAACACCGAAGCACAATCCGCTTCGCAAAAGTATTGTGATTACATGCATTATTATTGCTACTACTATTATGTGTATTGTTATTTCTGCAGTATTGTTATAAAAGCCCCTATGTTAAACTCTCAACACCGAAAGGGTTGGGGAATGGGTGCGCCAGTCGGAGACGGTGCTGGTAGGCAAGCCTTCCAAGAGCATTTCCTGGGATGAGTGACATGACGAGGCAACGAGTGATCTCACTGAAAGTTGATCCTTCAGGATGGTTTTGAAACCTGCTTCTTGATCGTTGCGATGCTGATATGACTGCAGCCGCCTTGGCTGCAATTGCAGCCAATGGCGCAGAAGCGGAAGTGCGAATCGAGTTTGCCTGCAGAATGTAAGTATGCAAAGATTTTCCTGGTAGACACACAGTAACTCTGCGGCGCGGGTCACAAACACTTTCCGCATCAAGGATGTTTCCGTCCGCGGCACTTCAAAACAAGCACGTCGCCCCGTAAGTCAGCCGAGTCTGGCAAACATGAAGGAGGTTGGCATAGAGATTTTTCGATGTAAGCCATCTACAATAGATGCTATTTATTGGATAACATATGGATGAATGCTACGTTAAATGTTACGTAGTTTATGTTTATATGTTACATATAATCTACCAGATGGGAGAGAGTAATCTTGAAAGGACGGCTACTGCACCTCTCGTCTAAGCAGCATCGTTTCGCGCAGTTGGCATCAGGAGCTCTCACTGTCGAGGGGCAGCGAAGGCAACGTCAACGACATCGCAGTCTCAGGCCAAGCCATCTCATTCAATGCAGTTTTCAGACACAGCTGAGTGTCAAGCACCGCTGCTTTTTGCTGGGTATGTTGTGGTTTGTTGGCGTCTTGGGTTGGTCTTGTAGGAAGCGAACATCTGGATTTCGCAGCTTGGGTTCCCGACCCAGATAGCCTTGTGAAGTATGCCAACACGGGTTTAGGGTTTACGGTAGGGGCAGGGCAGAAGGTTGGCTGTCTAGCGGCCAATCCACTCCTGTTGCCGGTTTGCTTGCAGTTGTTGCAAAGTTGTGAGTTGCTCTCGCACGAGCAGTTTCGTGCCACTGTGGGTTTGCGAGTGCTAGCTGCTACTAGCCTCTGTGTGTGCTTTAATGTCATGACGGTATCTCAAGACGAGCAGTTGGATCCTCGTGCGTGATACTGCCGCCGAGTAAGATATGCTGAATACACGAAGACCTTACAGAAAAGGATGGTTTTTCAAGTTTGCAGCTACTCATGTGCAGTCTTCCCTGTGAAAAGTCAGAGATCGATGAGTTCAGCCATGCCGGCCGCAAGTTGCGTGTAGAATATGGAAACAACGACGTTTACATGGAGGTACTTTTTAGACGGCATTGCAGGTACGCAGACTGGCGTCCCCAGTCTGTATCAGCAAATCTTGAGGAGCTTATTTGCTAGGTTTTGCAGTCTTCAGATGTGGAGCAGCACTGATTGGACCCCGACAAGACTTTCAACCTCTGCCGATTCAATCTCATGCTAACAGGGTTGCGCGCCAAATCGCTCTGCATGCAAGGCACAATTTCGGACATGTGGGGTTAGCCGGTCCTTTAGTTAAACAGAAGAACCGTATGAGAGCACAGTGAGTTACGCAAGAACAGGACAGCAAACAACAAGTACAGGAAGAAGTTAATGAGATGATTGAAGATGTCTTGGACTTCTGGATTTCGTGTCGTTCGGAGACTCTTTCACTCTATGACTCTCCGTTTCGACTCCAGTTCTAAGACTCCTTGTGCTGGGCCTCCAATCCGTAGCTCGGCGGAATTTCTTGCTTCTTCAGTGTCAAGAGCCAAAGGACCGAAGTTCGAGGATCACGTTCATCTGGGTTCTTGTTGAAGGATTTAGTTCAAGTTGCAATAGTAAAGAAACCGTATGATTTACTATAGATCCCTATTCTGGTGACTTAGTTTAAGTTCCTCAACAACAGCCCAGCCAAGAGTTGCAAGCATCCTGCCGCGGCAGGCCTCTTGAAGCTCGGCTCTGCTCACCTGACTACGAAGTCGAGCTCGGGCATCGACATCTCAGCCCATAATCTTTCTCTCGAAGCTCGGAGGTATTTGGATGTCATGCGAAGCAGGGGTTATTATTATTAGAGGCGACCCAAACTCCTTTCGTTTTGGTGCAGCTAGGAAGACGAGATGAATTGTTCGAGTACCTCCTCTTGCAACTGGACTGCATTTGGAGCTTTGACTGCAGGTTTCAACTGCGAGTTGACTAGACGAGAAGCATTCCCATCCAGGCACGTTCTATGCGAACGTCGCCACAAGTGCCGTCTTCCTTTGCCCTTTGGGCACAGGGTCGGTGGGTTTCGAAGACTTGCACGATTTCGGCTGCCTGGTACTGCTGGCCTGCATTCGCCCGCAGTGTAAAAGCCAGTGTTCGGAGCCTTATGGAATTCTCATTTCCTAGGTGTGCAGGACTTGCAGGAGAAACCTTGTTGCCTAGCTTGCGATTTGCGAATGCGGGCTGGGCAACCTAGTTTTGCCTTGCCAGTTGCAGTGACCACCAAGGCTAGGCCAGGGCTCGTCTCCTCTTCGGGCAGACAGTAACCGAGGATAGCTATTGCCAGATACTCGACATAGAACCGAACTGTGCCGCGAACTTCCTCCAGATAACAAGACCCAAGCCCCTGCAAGAACTGCCAGGTGTGCAGGCCAGGGGACACGCAGGTTCTCAGTGTGACGAGAAGGCCTGCCGTGTCGAGGGACATTCACCAGGGTCCAGAATTCGGATTGGCCGTTCTTTGTTTGTTGTGGAGGTTTCAGATCTCAAGTGCGTCTCAGGCCGTGCAGTCAGTGCCCCGAAGGGGCTTCCAAGTGCCTGGCCAGCGAGCTGGAGATGCAGCGCCTTGTCCTACATTGACCTGGGTTTTGGATGTTGGGTTTAGGGTTTAGGGTTTAGGGTTTGGGGTGTTGGGTTTAGTTCCTCAAACTTGGCGGATTGGTGGTACAAGGGTTTCGTCTCCTTGCTCTTTGCAGGGGATTACATGAGATCCGCGAAAGAGAACAAATCAGTTACATGGGAAGCTCTGAAAGAAACAGCATTTAAAGCGTTTGTTTTCCGGAGTCCTTCAAACGCAGGCAGCAGCATTTTCCGAGCATACATTTGACAAATTCAGTTTTACGAAAGGTCTTTCAACCCAGGCAAAAAGGAGGAAACGGGCAAGCAGCAGCAAGCAGCTGCAGGACGCCCAACACCGAATTTGGTTGTCCGAGCAGGCTGTTAAACGTAAGAAGCAACAGGCAGCATTCAGGATGTCCAGGATTAGGCAGTCAAGTTTCGGTCAAGACTTCGTGCGCAAACCCTACACATTTTCTGTAAACCTCCAACCCTAGGCCCGGAACTCTATGGGAAAGCGGCGATCAAAACAAAACCTAAAATCAAACCGTGTAGGTTTAGGGTTTTGAAGCCGCCATGATCAGGAATATACCCCTACTACCGCTGCGCAAGGGCCCAGTAACCCAGATCCTAAACCCCCCAAACCCTAAACTCAAGGCATAGGCCGCCCACCTACTGCCCTGCTTTGCCCTGCCCCGCCCTGCTGCCTTGTTGCCGAACGCGTTCTGGCATGAGTTTTAGGCCTAAAGCCCTAAAAGGAATGGGTCGGGGGTAGTTCTGCGCGTTATTCGACGGCAAACCCTAAACCCTCGACCCGAAGCCCAAAACCCTAAACTCGTCTGACTGAGGCCCGGGCTCATGGTGGAGTTGGAAGACGTCAGCCGCAGCTTCCACTGTCCCAACGAGGCTGGGAAGATTAGGGTTCCCTTAGGATCTCGGCATCTTTGAGGGTTTTGTAAGGTTTGGGAAGACAAAGGTTCCCTGTAAAGAGGACCTTGGAACCCCATAGTACCGTTACAGGGACCCAGGTAAAGAACCCCGTCGTACTCTTGCGGGTTCTAATAAGACTTCAAGACCGAAAGGATTTCTTTTCAGATACTTTTGATCTTGCACGAGACAGTGCGCCATGAACCCGAGCACGACGCGCCCATCAAGAAGTAGAGCACACACACCGCACCCTATGACGCTGAGCTTGGCGGCAAAACACCCAAGAAATCACGAAATCCATCCCTGAGGCTGCCTGCCCTGGGGGCCATGTATCCCAGGGAAGGGTGCGCCGGGCAATGTGCGCAGATGGCTGCCTGAGCTCGAAGGGGTTGTGGTTCGACTTTGGCTTTGGGGTTCCGGTTCATAGAGGTAATGTATAAGACTGAAGAGGGTTCCTTGTCACTAGTGTCATAGTACACCCCCAAGCCCTATTCTAGCTAGATAAGGCACTATGTTACTTTCATTAGCCGCGTCGTTCTTCTGACTCGGGTGTTTCCGAGCTTTGCCATGCCACCTTTGCACAGATAAGCACAGATGGAAAATGGCGAAGCCTAGAGTTCAAGATCGCAAGGCTACCGGGGCCAAGGCTGCACGAGCTGCAGCGATGAGCATGCCATGGCGGACAGCAGTGTGTTCTCGTGCTCCTTGCCCCACCTGGACTTTCAAGCTTTGGGCCCTGGGGCTCTACTGGCTTGTCTGAAGTTGGCAGGGTTTAGGGTTCAGCTTTGCGTGCTGCGGCTGTCACCTCCTGCTAACCGCTAGGGTCCCCGCGAGTGCCTTCGAACTTCCAACCGTCTTAATCCTAGCCGACACGTCTCGCTCTTTGACGCTCCAGCCGTATTCTGAAGCACCGCATCAGCAGGGAGGCCAAAGGATCCGTTGCTCTTTGTGAGGAGACGGTATGTAGTCCTGCAGCATGCTGCTGAGGCACTGCCTGCAGCAAAGACCGTCGTGTGCAGGCTGGACATTCTTATCATGCGCTCCCCCGACATTTAGGACGGCTTCATACGGCCCGTCACTGCGTTTTTGCCTTCGTGGTCCTTCGCGAGAAACCGCATAGATCAAGGTGTTTGGTCTCTCATCATGTAAATGTGTCGAGTCCGACGCTTGATGCGATGGCGTTTATTGCAAACCCGAAGCCGCAAACGGTTGAGCTTCTCAAAGCCAACACCGACGAAGTACAAAGCTTTACTTCGGTCATACTGCTATGCAATCAGAAAGATGCTGTATGTAGTTTTCGCGACAGTTGGTTGGAGCATCTGGAGAAACCTTCTTCCTTACGAATGCTGTGGAAGACTTCAGTCACCTAAAGGCGGTCCTGATTACAGTAGAAACCGTTGACACGGAATACATAATTAAGGGATATTGAGCTCCATAGATTGCCAGGAAACATTCTTTATCTTTATCCTGAAACAGAGGGCGAACCGACGCAGGCGGTGCAGTGGATCACGTTCCTGTCTCAGCGCGCCTTCCTCTTCGCACTCGGAGCTCTCAGCGCCTTTGGAGCCAAGAAGGACGCTTGGCAAGACCCAAACCCTAAAGCCCTTTGGCCTGAAACCCTAATCCCTAAACCCTGAACCCTCACGCACTAAAAACCACCCTGAAGCTCTTGAACGCAACCTTGCTTGGGCTACGGAGCTCAGGCTGGGGACCTGAAGCAAAGCAGCATCTACCTCAACCAGCTCATGGCCTTTGCCACCATCTCCAACACGACGCTTGCCGGCATATCAGGGGCTTTTTGGTTTTAGGTTTCAGGTTTTGGGATGATCCGGAATTCTTCAGCCGAATACCCAGGATCCTGGCTGCCGTGTTGCAGACCCAGACGGCAAAGGACATCAAAAGCGACGCCGCCGCCCCGCCGGCATTCCGGAGCTTTCTCCTTGCAGACTACATCATGTAATGTCAATATATAGAAACATACATACATACATACATACATACATACATACATACATACATTCATACATTCATACATTCATACATTCATACATTCATACATTCATACATACATACACCTTACATACATACATATATATATATATATATATATAATACAGTATGATCTTATCTACAACTTATCTCTCCATGGCCTCCGAGCCAAGGCGAACTTCTTCTTCAGCGCTGCTGTGCACACCGCCGAGGCAGCTTCCGGACAAGGACATGCCCCTTCAGGGAGTCAGTGCGCTCCTGAACACTCAGAACTGCCTAGCTGAAGCTCAGCTTTTTCGCGTCTGCTGGACCCCGCAGCAGAGAGAGGGACCCAAGGTTACCTCCAAGATGCATCGCATTGCCCAGCGCAAGATTCAGACTTAGCCCACCTTCAAATGGTTCCGGCCTTAGCAGAAACCGGGGCAATCTCTTGGAAACCCTAAACCCTACACCCATAACCCCAAATACTCCCAACCTCAAATCCTGAACCCTAGACCCAAACCCCCCGACTCCCCGTCGGTCTATAGGAGTGACCCAGCAGCTCCCGGCAGGATCTTTACGCAGCGCCTCCTCGCAGTGTCTTTTGTCCTACCTCGGCTACGAGAAGACCTTGTGGCTTGGTCGCAGGATTTCCTGTTCGATCAGACCCTCTTTGACTTCACTGCTTCACAGGCTGTGTACTGTTTCGGCATTGCTGCACAGAAGTGATCCGTAGTTATTGTAGCTGTTGTGCGGACTGCGGCTCAGCTGGGGCAGTCACCTGTTGGATTTCGTGACTGGGCCGCACTGATTGACACCCGTGGATCGAGTAGCTCATTTACACGTCCTTGTAGTAAAACAGCAAGGCTTGGTCTACTACTAATATTACCGCGGCTCCTTGATGGATCCGACTATATTACAACGGTGGCTCCTTTGTAGGTCCTGAGAAGAAGGATCCTACTATTACCATCCTCCGTGGGGTTCTTGAAGCAGGGATCCCACTGCTGCCGCTATTGTTCACTATTGGTTACAGTTTCAGAGTTGAAAATGTGCGTGGTCCTGGAGTCTTCAAGCAGACTTTGAGAGTAACGAGTAGAGTGTCCGGCCTGCTGCACTCTATAGGAGTCTTACCTATAGGGCTTGAAGGCAACATCTCCGACAAGCCTGAAGGTTGTGGCAGCCGGGCTCATTTCATCGCTGTCCTTGATGAAAGACTCTCGTGTTGCGCTCATCGCAGGCCCGAGGGTCTAAGTAGCTAGAAATACGTTGGGCGCAGCAATCCTTACTGCATGGTGCAGTGGACCTTCAGGCCAGGCATCAATTTCGAAGAGTTGCGTCATTGATGCGAGAAATTCCTGTGCTTTGCGCGTCTATCCGCCAATTCAACCATGAAGCTATCGTCTAGAGCTTAAGCCTTACGCCCGAAAGCCTAAGCCGGTTTAGGGTTGAGTGTAGCCGGGCAACACGGCAGCTCTCAGAATGTCGATGCATGCTCCTTCGTGCGTTTGCAAACAGCTGAACCAAGGTGGAGAGATGTGTATATGTATGACCTAGGTAACCTGCATGCAGACATACAGACAGACGGACACCTAGACCTACGGCCTACGCACGTACATATGTACATACATGTACGCATGGATGGATGCATGGACGGATGTGTGTGTGTGTGTGTGTGCATGCATGGTATGGCATGGCATGGCATGGTTTGGCACGCTGTGCTCTGCTTTGCAAAGCCATGCATGCATGCATGCACGCATGCAAAAGTGTGTATGTCAGTACGTATGTATGTATGTATGTATGTATGTATGTATGTATGTACGTACGTATACATGTATACATTTATGCAAAAAAAATATATATAACCATATCTACATGTATATACATATCTACATATATATATATACACATATATGTATGTACATATATACATCTATACAGATATACAGATATACAAAAATACAAATATACAAATATACACATATATACATATATATATATACACATGTATATATGTATATATATATATATATTATACACATATGTACATATACACAGATATACATTTCCGCATATTTACTTATATACACATACACTTACATACATGTATACATATATACATGTATACATATATACATATGTACATGTACACAGATATACATTTACACATATATATGTATATATACATATACACATTTACATATACGCATACAAACATATATACACCTATGTACACATACGCACATGTGCATATGCATGTATATACGTATGCGTGGTTACATACACATAGAGGCAGTTCTGCAGGTATTCGTGTATGTACATGTTAATATGCGTATGCTCATGCATTTGTACATGTATGTGTACGTGTATATGGATATGGATATATTTATGTCTGTCTATGACTTTGTATACCTAATCTACCTATCTAGCTATCTTCCTAGTCGCCTATCTACCTATTTGCTTATCTACTTATCTACTTGCCTACCCACCCCTGGCTGGCTGCCTCCCTCCCTCTCTCTCTCTCTCTGTGCCTGCGTTTCTGTCTGCTTGGAATATTCAGGTGTATGTGTGTCCATTCTACTGCAGACCCACTCCTCTGCTAAGACCAAGATCCCCTCCCGCTGAGTCGCAACCACTGTTCAGCCATGATGGAGGCATGAACTGCTTCCTGCCCACAATAGCTGCCGACTTCGGGAAGTATCTGGTGTGCCTGGGGCCCAGTTGCATTGCAAGCGAGGTTGTATCCCCAAATGCAAATCGAACCACCAAGACTCAGAATTGCCAACACTGCACCGCGCACCGAAGCTAGATCCTTGAAGAGCCAACGCACATTGAAAGCGCCCAGTAGAGCACTCTATGGCCCAGATCCTTCCTCGACGCCCAGCATGCACAAACAGAATCCTACATCCAACACGATTAACATCTCGAGCTCCGTCGATGTGCGGCCAAGCCACGAAGCTGCTTCCTAGTTTGCCAGTCTGGTTTCGGATGTTGACAAGTTCTGAGAGTTTACGGGCTTGGATTGGTTGTCTTGAGATGTGAGATCGTCGTGGTCCTAAACATATTATAGGGGAAAAAATATTGTTTCCCTTATAATATGTAGATCCCAAGAACGAGAACCCTGCGGAAGTCCCAGGCTTCCGCCTGCGGCGAGATGACGCCGCCGGGCTCCAGGGCCTCCAGTGCCCCTTCCTTCCTGGAAGCGCCGGGCTCGCCAGTGCGACGCAGGTTGGGCGGAGTTGCAGTTGAGGGGTTCAGGTGCAGGAGTTTAGGGTTTAGGGTTTAGGTTTTTGAGCTTGGAGATGTCGACACAGAATTTGACAGCCGGGAACCTTTACAGTAAGTTGCTGCAAAGCTTGCAGTTAAGATTCCTTCGGGCAGGGACGCTTTCACTTCCTAAGCCTTAGCCCTCGATGTACGACGTCATGAGCATGGAGCAAAGTTGGAAGGATCTCAAGTTTTCAGGTCGTTTACGATGTTGTGTGTACGCGGGGCGTCCGCCTCCTTTGCGGGATGTCCATCCATCCATCCATCCATGCATGCATCCATCCATCCGTCCATCCATCCAGGCATGCATGCATCCATCCATCTATCTATCTATCTACCTATCTATCTAGCTATCTATCTATCTACCTATCTATCTCTCTCTCTCTCTCTGTCTCTCTCTGTCTGCCTGTCTCTCTGTCTATTCATCTGTTTATCTACGTATCTGTTTGTTTGTCTTTCTGTCTGTAAATCTGACTATCTGTCTGTCTATCTATTTATCTATCTGTCCATATTTCTAACTATCTATTTATCTATCTATCTACCTATCTGTCTATCTGTCTTTCTATTTATCTATCTGTCTATCTGTTCGTCTGTCTGTCTGTCTGCC